GGTCTATGACCCCACCGCCTTCATTGCGTGTAAGTTGGTGGTAGTTGCCTGGTTAATAGCTTATGGTGCCACAATAAAACCGAGGGCCCCTATGGAATAGCTGCCACATGGTGACGCTGCTCGACACGCGCTGGTATCGAGGTTGTTGACCAAGTACCTTTACCAAGTTACACCGCCATACCATTTTTGATACAAAATATTCTTCTTGGAAATATTCGGATGTTCAAATAGGCAATCCACAATGGGTTGATGAAATAGTGTTCCCTCAAAGAAAACAAAAGAATGTGGTTTTGGAGAAAGCACGTATCTCAATTCATACAAAAGGTTGGCGCATATGGTGAACAAGGAAGGGGAGGAAAAAGAGGAGCAACAAGGAAAAAGTTAGCCTCGGGTAGTAGGGAGTGCTTGGAAAAGTCTAAGCGGACGTCAAGTCCCAAGCACTATGCCTAGCTCGACCACGCTACGCACTCTGGGTCACTGTCACCGCGTGCCCCGCGGACGTCGTCTATGTCAGGCCCATTAGCAGCCTATTCTCGCATGGCCACGACATCGTGCCGCACTCGCCGTCCTCATGCACTATGCGTTTCTCCTTTTCCCATCATCCGGTTGGCTCTTGATCCTCGCCCTCGTCCCCGTACCAGACCCCCTCTCTTCTTTCTTCTTTTGGGGACACGGTCGCCTGCATGCCTCTCTCATCGAGCGAACCCTCTCTCCTCTCCTTTATTCCTCCCTTCACTCACTTGCGCAGGGAGTGCGCCATGGCCAACTTTATCCCCACAGCGTGAACCGGCAATGTATCCTATCCAAATTGTCTCCACTTCTAGTGCGTTGTGTCCCACCTCCATTCACCACTATAAGATACCTTGGTCCTTGCTCTTCTTCTTCATTCCCATCCCCTCGAATCCGAAGCTGAGCTACGAGATCCAGTCGTTATTATGGAACTAGGTTCGTCAGTCAGAGGTGATTGTGTATTCTGAGGAGAAGAAGGGATCTGGTTTCATCGAAGAAGTTCAAGTCTACCGATGGTTAGTTGGTCTTAGGGTTCATGATGTTTGACTTCTCAGTCTTCTATTTCTAGATCAGTTGGACATATGCCATGTTTTGGATAATTATTTTCTTGTTGTTTCTCCATTGCCCTCGTCTATCTCGACTTCTAGATTAAGCCTTGGTTGTACTAGGTTGCTCTTAACCATGTATCCCTAAATCCCCGTGTGGTTTAGTGTTCGACGTCGCGTAATCTTCCGTATAATTTCATATCTATGAAATGTAATTGCGTTTCCTCTCTTCTGATTCTTACGCCGAATCTCGGGACGAGATTCTTTTTAGGGGGGTTGGTTGTAACACCTCTAGTGTTACGAGCTCGCTAAGCACTGAGATTATGGCCTGAGAGATAGATCTATAAATATAGTGGGTTAGTTACGTAAATGCCTATATGTGTTAATGAAAAATCCTAACGCGAAGAGTAGAATAAGTAGTTCTAAATATTGGCACGGAAGCAATTTTTATGAACAAAATAAAATATAACTTGTATTTAGTACTTGAATAAAATTTCGAGCGCAAGTTTAATAGATAAAAATGCAACTCTTGTTTTGGTGAATAAAAGTTGTTTAATAGTATATCTGATAGCTCAGAAATCGAATCCGACATTTAAACTAGACCTTTTATGAATCGGCAGGAAGTTAAAATTATAGTTAGAATGCTATTTTTTACTATTTATATTAAGCAAAATAATTAAGAGGTGTTCAAATATTTTGCTCCTGTGGGTTAGTATGGAGTATGGGCTATGTCATGCTATGTTTGTTAGTTGAAATCATCGAGGTTTAGACCTTGCTAAAATTACAGCAAAGTGCTTAGGAATGTTAGTTCTAACTGAAACCTTGAATTCTTTTAAGTATGAAATGATAGTAGACAATACCATTTTGGCAATTGATTTCTGAAAATTTAGTTAAACACTAGTGCCATGTTTTTGTTTAGTGGTTTGTACCAAAGTGAGTACTTTGTGATGATGTGATGGTTAGTGTTGTTAGAGCTTGGTTTAGCTAGTAATAAAATGCGTTTAAGTAAGTAAAATGTGCTAGGTTTGGCAGTTGAGCCCTTGGGCGTGGTAATCGAGCCCATGTCATCGCGTGGACTGCGCAGCGCGCTGGTCGGCTGTGGCCATCCGTGCGTTGGCCGGTCCCGGCCTAGCTGTGCTCTGGTGGGTTGTGTGCTACTATCGCACATGGTTGTGCCACTGCCCGGCCCCGCCCCGCCCAGTTGCACGCGATCACAGCCACTTGTCTCACCTACCCCCCCTTCTGGCTCTTGTGTCTGGCTTAAGGACAAGGTGACCCCACGCATGTCTCCTCGCTTGTTCTCGCGCTCCTCTGCCCAGCCTCCCTCTCCCTCCCTCCTCGCGCATGCCCTTGCTCTCTCCCTAGCGCCCTGCTCCACACAAGCTCCCTCCCCTGTTATCTCTGCTCCAACGCACGGTCACCATGGCCAGAGACCACCGGAGTGATCCCCGGCGTTGGGTCGTCGCCGCTGCCATCGTGGGCGCATGTGGCCAGCTGGTCGGGTGCCACCTTCGGCCCAGCCATGGGCCCTCGTGCACACGTGCGAGCGCGCCTGAGTCCTCGCGTTGCCCTACGCTGCTCCACCTCCGCTGCCATGCCCCGCAGCGCCCCCGCCATGGCTGAATCGAGCTCGAACTCGCAGCCACCGTCGTTCTTTGCCTCCGCGCCACCTGCGTGCCCCATAAGTCCCTGCCTTGCCAGCGCTGCGTGCCGCTGTTGTGCTTCGTCCATTGGGACGCCATGCACGTGGCCACCCCGCTACTGCCAGGCTACCGCCGCCACCCCTTCCCCTGCTCGCGCCGCCCCGCCGGTGCCCTCGGCCGGTCCTTGTCGAGCCGAGCTGCTGTCCCCGCCATTGCCGCGCTGCTATAAACAATAAACATTATACTCTGATGTTGCATGAAAAGTGATGTAAGAAATAACTTAAGAAGGTTGTAAGCTTTATTCTCTCATTTATGATCCTGATGGAAAAATATGGATTTTTGAGTTCTCCCTTGGGGTGTGCTCGACGGAACTGCGTAATTTAGTGTCTTCCTTTGAGTACTTGGTGTCTAATGGAAGACAAGTACTCCTGGGAGACATTAAATTAGGCGGTTCTACCACAAGAATCAAGCAATGTAGCCATCAAAACAATGCTAATTAAGCAACAAAATCAAAGGAGTGCATGCTTGTTACTAACCTTATAGCAAAAAGATCAAGCCATTCTTCCAAATCCAAGAGCTAGCTTCACGGTGAAGAGCAGCCGCAACAATGGAGAGAGCGACCCAAACGCGTGCCTCTATGCTCGGGATGGGAGAGAGGAGGAAGGAGAGGACAGCGCCAGTTTTTTGTACTGCTACTTTATCACCGTCGGTTCTTAACCGACAGTGATAGCACCAAATCACTGTCGGCTCTTGGTTAGAACCGGCAGTGATAAGTGGCCGCCAACGTACTGCTGGTGCAAGCCATAAACCGACAGTGATGTGGTCCTTCACTGCTAATTTTAGCCTAGCCCCAATCATTTTCTCATTTTCAAGCTCGGAACTGACAGTGAAGGTACATCACTGTCGGTTCTTACAAATCTGATAGTGATGAGACCGACAGTGATGTCCAAATCTGTAGTAGTGGATACTTCCTTTTCTGTTACGCGCTACTATGGTGGGAACTAGAGTATAGGCGGTCGTGTTGAACAGAAAATGTTCATCATTTTAGCCATTTAGGCCTTGTTTGCAACACGAGAAAATTTTCATGTCCTTGCTTGTTTCTTACAAATTGAACTGATTTCTATAAAATTCATCCATTCCTAACACACCTTCACAATTATACAGACCACTTTCACGGTTGACCACCCTGTGCTCGGCCCAACCAAAGCCCATAGGATCCGAAGGCATGAATTATTTTTTGATGCAACTATTTTTAAAGATGATCCTCTTAACATGCCCATCTCTATTAATCAATTTTTAGAGGTGGACCCTTAGAATGTTTGCCTCTATTAATAGTAATTTTAAGAGATGGGCTTCTTCTGTTAATTAATTAACAAACACGGACGTCTAGATGTCCACCTCTATCTATTAAAAGTCGATTAACAGAGGCGGGCTTTTTCCTATCTAATCATTTACAGAGATGGTCTCTAGATGTGCTCGTCTCTGTTAATCAGAGAGACTGTCTCTTAAAATTATTTTTGTAATATGCATCTTAAGAAGTCAACATCCATTAATGGATTAACGAGACGGACGTCATAGAGCGATCACCTCAGTTAATAGTCCATTAACAGAGGTGGTCATCTTAGAATCCTCGCCAGTGTTAATGACTAATTAATAGAGGAGAGCGTTTGCTTGAGCGAGTCCAATTATTTACAAAGACGACACCATAAGATGTCTTCAAAAATTCTTTTTTTATAGTGAAAAGAACTGTCGAATGTACCAGAGATCGGATTCGTGTTTTGGTGATGAAACCATATGACATTATGACTAATCATCACTATTTCTTATTACAAACTGAACATAAATGTCATAATATAAAATAGAATTAGCCATTATTATCTAAAATACAAATTCAGTGAATGAGTAATACAAATTCAGGTGGGGATCCTCCTCCCCCGGTGACCTTAAAAAAATACATCTAAAATAAATAAAATAAAATAGAAGTAGCAGATTGCAGAGTTTTTCTTCATCGAGTAGAAGTAGCTTAGCATTTTGACTCGTCTCTCATCTAGCTCAATTTTCATTTATTTGGAGCTCAAAGATTGGGGCGGCCATCTTGTTTCTTACCACCTTTTTTTTTTAACGTAATCGACCACCTTGTTTGCCATCCGAAGTTTTTTTGAATGGAAGGAAGTCTATCCCATCCATATATGGTTGCAGCACCTTCGGAATCTGAACATTATCTGTCTCCAGAACACAGCAGAGAGTTCTCTCTGTTGCGGTCAATGTAGAGTTGAGTGTGTGAACATACTTGTTGGACTGTTCACCATGCTTTCTCTGGCCATAGGTCATTCCGAGCCTCCTTGCTTGATAGTCTGTACAATTTGAGCATGACACTAGTTCCCTGTAGGTCATACTTCTTCGCCGCGGAGTTGTTAAGAGCACCTGATACAACACTGACAACATGGCCTGCTATCATCTCTTCGTGCATTTCCCATGAATCATTGCCATCTGGGCTTGTGATGCAGAACTGTTCAACCTTTTCGAACTCGTGTGAACCAGCTTCTTTCCGAAAGCACGTTGAGAAGCCAACGTACCTAATTGGCAACTGATCAGGATGAAACTGCTCACCTTGATGAAGGACGGCCAATGGTTGTTCCGCCGTGGCGATAAAGAACTTCCCTTCTCCTTCCACTTTGTAAAGCTCCTCGTCGTATTGTGATAGCTGAGCACATTTTCCCATGGCTTCCTTCGTCATGATATGTGGAGTACGGATCGCCTTATAGCCTCGTTTTCTCAGGAAAGCTATGCAGAATCTTTGCAGTGCCTCATTCAGGAGGGCACCTTCCTCTAACAAATAGAAGCCCCTTCCACCTGAAGCTGCAACACCCTTCTTAAACTCGACAATGTCAGTTGCTATGCAAAGATCCACGTGGTTCATGAGTTTTCCACCCACCCTCCTCTCTCCAAATCCACGCACGAGAACATTGTTGGCCTCGTCGTCGCTAACGGGCACAGATTCATGCAAGATGTTGCCAATAGTCATGAGCTTGGCTTCAAGCTTGGCCTTTGCCTCCCGCTCCTCGGCTTCCATGGCAGCCTGACACTTCTTGCTCTCGTTCGTGCCATCCATGAGCTTCTGCGCCTCCTCCTCTGCCTGTCCTGAGCTTTCCAATCTTCTTGCTAGCGACGTTGAGCTCCTGCCGGTCCTTGTCCAAGTCGAACCGCAATTGGCGCCATGCTTCATCGAGGGCAATGACCTCGTCAACTAGCTCGACGGAGGCAAAACGATTCAGCTGAGACAGGCGGACAAGATCCGGCTTGCCGTCGCATTTGTTCTCTCCCGTGCGCAATAGATTGATGTCTAGCATCTTGGCGGATGACTTTGGACGGAAAATTTGTTGGGTGCAGGCGAGGCGTGATGATCCAGAACCGGGAATGTATATACACCGGCCGGCAGATCGAGGAGAACTTGCTAGTCGTTCGCCGGTGGTGGACTCACGGCAACTTGAGGAGGCCTAATACTACTTTACTATACCTAGTGTGTATCTGCTCAAAAAAAAAACTAGTGTTTGTATATCTGGGGCGGGGCCCATCAAATTGGGGGTCCAGGGTGGGCCCTGCTCTGAGCTGCGTATTTAAATAATTTTATTAGATAAATAATCCTGCCTGTCATCAGATATCTTCCAATCCTTCTCAAAAAAAAAATCAGATGTCCTCCAATCCTGGCTCTAGGGGGAGAAAAAGAGTAGTGCATCGGCCGTTGCTGATTGTGAATGATGTGGTGCCTCTAAATACCTGCGTGCGTCTGCACCAAATTCTTATTTGGCGTGTGTGCGTCACTACCCCAAATGCCGCACGCGCGAGTACGGCAGCGAATCCGAATGGAAAAGGGGCGGGTGGTGGGTGGGACAGCCAGCGATGAGGTCGCCGGAGGCTGAGACGGTGGTGGTTAGGGTTTTCAGGAAGCCCTCCATGGCCAGCGGGCTTAGAAAGAGAAGGGTCTGACGGTGATGGCGGGTTGAGGGGCGACAAGTGAGGCGGCGGTGGTGCCGCCGAGCGGGTGGTGGTAGACAATCGGATGGGCGATGCCCGCGGCGAGGGCGAGAAGTAACCGAACGAACTCTCTGTTTGGGATTAGGGAAGGACGGGATGGTTCAACGGGGGTGGACAGCGAGCGGAAAGGTCACGGGTGGGCTGGACGGTGGTCGAGGCGGGGATGCGCGGAGGAAGAAGATGATCAAGGAGGGGGAAGACTGTGGGTCCGTATCCGCAGCAGCGTGCGCATAGGGTAAGAGGCTCGGTATCTGAATGGCATGAGACATGACCGCACGGGCCATCGGTGGACACTCACCAACCATAATTCGAATCGCACAAGAAACACGGACGGCAAATGGACGACGAGTTGTCTCACGCGGACGCGTTCTGCGCCAATCTCGATGTCACCAACCCCCAAAACTCAGTCATCATTCATCAACGATAGTGCCACCTCACACATCATTTTTTACGCAATAGGATTAGATTCTATGTGTCTGTATGTATAACAAGTATATAAATTAAAAATGTATCTACTGATCGATCTACACGAAAGAATTTAAATCAGCTAAGGTAAAAGTAAAAAAAAAAACAGAGTAAAAAGGTCAGCCTAAAAACTGCCGATCACTACCACGCTACCACGAGCCCAGCGGCCACGGCTACGGCGCCGACCAACGCGGTCCACGGTCGGGAGCTTGCGCTGGCGGCGCTGTCCATGTCCCGGCTGCTGGTGGCCGGCGGCGCGACGCCCTTGAAGTTGGGGTTGCCCCCGTACAGGTTCTGGATGCCCGCGACGTCGTCCTCGGCCAGGTCCACCTTCCTGGTGCGCGAGGTGATGGTCGGGTACATGATGGCGCTGGGCTCCGCCGAGTGGCAGAGGCCGAGGAGGTGCCCGATCTCGTGCACCGCCACGGACTCGAGGTCCACGGCCACGTCCGAGGACGCGCGCGACACGTCGCCGGTGGCGACCCACGCCTCGGCGGCGTCCAGGTGGAACCGCCCGTCCGTCGGGGAGAAGGCGTGCGCCAGCGTGCCCAGGGGCCCGTCGAACGCCTCGCCGTCGCCGTGGTCCCCCGCGTAGAAGCCGATAGTGATGTCGGCATCCTTCGGCGACGCGGTCTCCGTGAAGTTGAGCGTCGTGGCCGCGGACCACCGCGCGAACGCGCGCGCGAACACCTGGCTCAGCGTCGCCCGGTCGATGGACGTCAGGGAGGTCTGCGTGATGGCGTACGTGAGGCTCTTCTTGGAGCGCGGCCACGCCGGGGAACCCGGGAAGTAGGTGAAGAGGTTCCGGCCGTGGACGTGCGACGACGAGGTGCCGGCGCCGCCGCCCATGGTGGACGTGCCGTTGATGATGTCCGCGACGCCGCACCGCGGAGCCATCATCTGGGCCACCGTGGACGCGTCCATTGTTCCGGTGACGTCGAGGCCGAAGTTGCGCTGGTACACCTTGATGGCTTCCTCCAGGTCGGCGTCGAAGATGTCGTTGAACCCGGACGACTCGGGGAGGTAGCCGAAGTGGGAGAGGTAGTCCTTGACCTTGGCGAGGCCCTGCTGCTGCTCGCCGAAGTGGCAACCGGTGAGGTTCTGGAACGCCGACCAAGGGTTTGGGATCTTGGATGCGATGGAAGCAAAACCGGATGGCAAGTCGGCCGACGAAACTGGTGCGACGACAAGCATCGCCACCGCCATGGCGGTGATCAGGAGGAGAGGAGAGGTGGTGGTGCTGGCCATTGCAACCTTTCGGGGGAGAAGGGAAGAAGCTCTGAGGAAGAATGGATGAGGCGGGACAATTGGGCGATGTTTTTGAAGGGTGACGGGTCGTCCAAAGACGACTATTTGGTCAGCCGGCTAAAGATGGGAGAACAGGAACCCTTCTTTGTAGCATTTTGTCAAAAAAAAACTTCTTTGTAGCATGATTGGTGCGGAGTTTGTAGCATGATTGGTGCGGAGTCTCGTGTTTGTTGTGTGTATAATGGTCATTATGTTAGTGACAGGGCCTATGTGAGGACTTGTTCCTGGGAAAGTATGTGAAGAAGCTTCGTTGTTCTTACTCAAGTAATCAAGTTGGTATAGCGCTACAGGCAAAGAAAAATGTTTAGGAGAGGGCAATGATAGTGCCCATGTGCATGAGTTGTAGCAATTAGCGCTTGATATTGTTTTTTGTAAGTAACAGGGACGAAATTGTTGAAGGGCCCTAGTCCAACTAGAAAGAAACCAGAAAGAGTCATTGAGATATGGACAAGGGACATTCGTGGTGGCATAAGAACAACTTGGAGCCGTCGCAGTTGAAGGGCTACGGCTCCATGTCCTCGTATGACTATTCTTCTTATTATTGATTGATAGAAATCCTTAACACCTCATTTGCTACGTTCTATCCCACAAATATATCCCTACTATCATCACCAATATATTTCACCACTGGAATTTTTCCAGTTCCGACAGTTACAAGAGCAGCAGTAAAAACTTCTTAGCGTCATTCAGTTTAGTGGTTACTTAACACCAACCCGAGAAAACATAGTGAAAAAAGGGGGAGAGCAACACATTGGAACAAAGAAATGTTAACAGCTACTGGATTCCAAGGTGGTCCAGAAACCCATCCTTCTAACAAAGACATCTTCCAGTAGATGACCTATGAACTAGGTCGGTCAACCACAATTATGGTCTTTAATTGATGGAAAAAGGTCTACAACAACAACAACAACAATAACACGCTTCTCATAATGGCATCTTCGAAGGAGTACCTGGATGGGACCAATGGAATGTTTCAGATTACAGAAATTTCTGAGATGTGATGCTTTTCATGGTGGCACATGGAAATACCTGGATGGCGCGGGTATTTTTTTGGAGTGGCATGTTCTTTGATGTATATAACAGCTGTTCGTTGACCATGAGGTCCCATTGATTCAACTGAGAACAAAAAGTTTAACATGTTACCAGCTTTATGTTTTGTTGCAACCTGAAAGGCTGGATGATGTTGGAGCAAAATAATGGTGTACAATAATAATGAGCACAAGAATGAGGTCAACATTTGTGTTTGACTTCAACTGCCATAGGATATCTCATTCCAGAATTTACTGATGAAATGATAAAATGCTTAAAAAAAATGCAAAGCAGCAATAGACAATAGTACTGTATCACGTTGAAAGTACACCAGCGAGCTATAGTCAAGGAGGGGAATTCACTATAGGCAATATGAGCTATTAATTCATCTAATACTTTATTTATTTATTTTGCTCTGTAGAACACTGAACTTTTATGATTTTTTTCTGTGGACACTAAATAGACTATGGAGTTTTTTTTTTCTTAACCGTGTCATGCACACCAAGTCACATTTTATCAGTGCCCTAAGACCAATGCCCCTTTTTTACAAGAGGAAGTGAGAGAATAAAATTGCAAGAACACAAAATCCTTCTGCACACTTAAAAGCAGGAGACAATACCATTACATAACTCAAGCATGGAACCACCCAATTTCCGTACTGCACCTTCTGCATTTCTTACTTCTTCCTGTACCCAAAAAAAAAAGATGTGAAATTAAAGTGTTGAATCCAATTCCGAGCAAGCAATATATATAGTTTCGGAAACTATGTGGATAAGTGTTTGCAGTGTCCAATGGTATCACAGCTAGTAAGACAAGAAAATCCAAGACTTACATGGGGATCATGTCCTTTTGCAGCTATAAACAAACCACCAATGCGAACCAATGGGATGCAATACTCCACTGCAAAAGAGAACTCTAGATAATTTGCTAAAAACAGGTCTTGTAATATAAATTCAAATATCACATACCAAGAACTTTCAGTTCAGCAACGGCTCTTGCAGCTACTATATCATATTTCTCTCTGAAATCAAGACTTTGGCCAACTTTCTGTCCTATAAAGCCACGCAAAGAAAATGGTTATTTTTAATAATGCAGATAGATTCCTCTGCAGGTAACATAACAACAATGTAAGTGTGCCATGGCTAGTTTCATGGTAGGCAAGAAGTGTTTCCAGAAAATCAATCTCTTCACCCGGAAACAAATAGAAGCATATCTACTCAAGGACTAATAAGTAATAACTATAGTAGAATCAGCACAAATGAATTGAAGACCTAATAACTATAGTAGTGCAACAAAAGATATTGATTTCTTAAAACAACAAACGTGCAATCTAGGACCACGGTCCTAGGTGTTTCCCAAAAAAATTCTAGTACCCCCTTTAGGCGTGGCCCAAGTACATTTCTCAGTGCTCCCAGCCCAACAAACTTCAGCGCCTGCGCAGCTGCGCCTATCTACGTCTCTCGCATGCATGTGCCCACAGTGATGCCCTCTCCCTTGTCTCTTGTCCTCTCCTCTCATTCTTGTCCCTGCGAAACCCGAGCAGAGAGCTGGTGGCAGCCAAATCAACAGGCGTCGACCGGCAAGCAGCGGTGCGCCAGCATGGCCAAATTGAGCAATGGGGTAGAGAAGGCTAGACCGCCAGACGTTGGAGGCTGGCCACGACCCATGGCCGGAAGAGAGTACAGTAGGTCACAAGCCTAGCTGCAGGCTGCAGCCTTGCAGGTGTCTTGCAGCGTTTCCCCAGTCTGCCCTTGCTCTATTTCAATCCTGAACTCCCCAATCCTAGGAGCAGAGAAGGGACTCTATTTGAGCTGCAGAACAATCTATGTTATCTATCAAAAGCTTGTTGTGTGCCTGATGGCTGATGCCACTCGTAGCAGTTGAACGCTACAACACTATTGTAGGGAACCGGTTCAATTTCTTAGCCTTCTAACACTGAACTTGGCCTTCAGCCTCACGACCATGGTTTGTCATCTTTCAACTGTATGGCAATGTTCCTTGATCAATAACCATCATGTGTTTATACTGTAAAAAGGTTCAGAAGGAATATGAAAGCCATTACTGCTGTGTTTTCACAATATTTTAATAGCTCCAAATTCATATATATAACCAAGGAAGAGAGAAGCATTGCTTGATTAAGTCAAAGCAGACAAGATAAATTTGGTGATGCCATAATTTTGATTTTGAATAAATATACCCGTTCATACTACAAAAAATCTGACTGATACCCCACCTTATGTATTGAAGTTTTAGGTATTCTTACTGTAGATCTGGCATGGTTGCTACAGTACTATCTTGGTTTCTTGATTAGAATTTGAGGTCAACTAGATTTTGTGTTATGTGCAACATTGAATGTTTTCTTTGCGAAGTCTAATTCACACATCTATTTAAAAACTTTAGTCCTATATTCATTGCATGAAATGATCTATTTGTTAAACGAGCACTGCTACACTGGGGTGATGTCGATGAATTTATTTTGTACTGCAGCATGTTTTATCATGTTTGTTGTACAATCAAACATGGAATCAATGTTTTCAAGTCGTCCGATTAATCACGATTAATCGCGATTACTCGCCATAATCAGTCCCTGGTGTTCGATTAGGAGGTCCGACTCGATTAGCTCGACCAGAAAGTTGGTCGTCCGATTAGTCGACGAGAAATCGCGATTAGTCGTCCGACTAGGACAGGGACGACCAGTTTGGTTACTCTGTTTTTGGGCCTGTTTAACTGGGCGGACATGTGGGCTACTGGGCTTGCAGTTTGGCCTGTTATGGTTAGAATGTTTAGCAAAAAGGATTGCTAGCCTTTGTTGCGCTGCATCTGGATGCGAGCGTAGTTGGAGTGATTTTTCTGCTGTAAGTGCTAGTGTACTACTGCTGAGTAATTAAGTATGGTAGTGATATTGATATGTGATTCTGCATTATATTTTGTGTAGGTCCATACAAAAAAGAGAAACCGATTAGAGTTGCACCAAAGGTTAAATAAGTTGGTATATGTCAGTTACAACCGCAAGATGGAAAACAGATTTAAAAAAATTAGAGAGCTGGGTTCCAAAGGAAAGAGATGCAATCCACTCTTGCTTGATGAATTTCATTGGGAAAATGAATGGGTCAATGAAAATTGTGAACCAGAACCAGTTCAGGAAGGTGGTGGCGATGCTATGACTTGGGCTGTTGTGGAAGAGGCTATTGGTGCAACTCAGGGTCTAAAGGGACGTAACTTGCCTAGGGCTGCTGCTACTCGTGCTGCTGTTGCTGCCCCTGTGAGGCGTACTTATGCTAGGAACAGGAAGCGTCCAAGGAACACAGTGACTCAAGATATTGATGAAGTTGATGATGAAGACCAAGATCAGCATGTAGATTCAGCAATAGCAATGGAGGATGAAGAATCTGCACCAACTGAAACTGGAGATGGACCAACTGGAGATGGAGATGGAGGCTTCAATTTTAATGTTGATTTGCTTAATTAGATGGCTAGTTGCCTACTTTTGTTGGACTGTTAAATGTCATTGTTTGTGACTCTGTGTTGAACACTTTAGCTTATGTGTACTGAACTTGTTTGGTTATGTAATATGCTGGCTGTGTGGCTGCTATGGTCTACTATGTGCTAACTGCTAGTTATTTGCTACTGCAGCAGTGCTGCTGTTGAGCTGTGTCAAGATCAAGACTACATTAGTGTTGCTAATTATGGTCTTCTTTGGTATTTTAGGCTTCCAGCAGCAAGTCGGTAAAGAAATAGAGTTTGGGACAGGAATATGGACCTCTGGACATGCAGAAAAGAGAAGAAAACAACTCCCACAAGTAAGTCACCAGCTAAACACTAATGTAGTCTTGATGCTTGCTTTATTGTGTATACTATATATTATATATAGGTATATATATAGTAGGTATATATGTCCTGATATATAGGATGACCAGGGGTCGACTAGGCTCAACTAATCGGCCTGGTCGACGACGAATCGCGATTAGTCTCCTGGTCGGTCCCATGACGACTAGGTTCGACTGGACGACTTGAAAACATTGCATGGAATTGTGATATCTTCTAAATTATGCATTTTATCTTTTGTCTATATGAGCTGTCGGTATGTAGGCCATAAATATTTGGTAGCATAATAGCATATGCTAAGCTTAAAACCATCTTACCTCAGCTCGGTCACACACCACGTCCACATTTGACAATTCCATGGCTTCAACGGCATGCTCCAAGAAGGTGCATCGCTTCCGCATCGACTCCAACAGTGTAAATTTCCAGCCTGAAACCAAGGAAACAAATCGAGATTGCAACAACCAAATCAACCACAACTCGTTTTCCCAGCCACATCACAACACCAATTAACTGGAAAAGAGGGGTGTTTACTCGGCCGCGCAACGGCAAGGATCAGGCCCGGGAGCCCGGCGCCGGAGCCAACGTCGATAAGGCTGACCCCGTCGATAGCGCCGCCAGCGGAGGTGGAACGGCCGCGGTACGCGCGCTCCAGCGGTGGCAGCATGGCGAGGGAGTCCGCCACGTGGCGCGTCATGACCTCGGCCTCGTTGGTGACGGCGGTGAGGTTCATCCTCTGAACAGATTCGAGAGAGTGAGAGACGCACGCGCAGGGCAGCGCCTCGCCGTGGGAAGCGTTCCGTGCCTAGGGATGTCAGGTGTGGTAGCTGCGGAGCTCAGGGGTTCGGGTCACTGACCTGGTTCCATTCAAGGAGAGTGTCCACGAAGACGGTGACCTGGCGCTGCTGCGGCGGCGAGAGGGAGGAGGTGGTGGCAGCGGCGGCAGAGGAGGAGGCGACGGTCGCAGTGGTCCGGCGGTTGAGGAGGGGGTGATGCGGACGGTGGCGCCGCCCGAGGAGGAGGCTAGGGAGGAGAACGCCGCGGCCGGCGGCGGTGCTGCTGCTGCAGCAGCAGAGCGACATCTCTCGCGGCGGCAGCCGCGGGGCTTTGGATGGGGTTTGTCAAGTGGATACGTGCTTTAGCAGAGAAAACGTATTTCTCACACGCGTTATCCAGAGATGCTTTCTGCTCGACTCGACTCAACTCTCGTGTCTCGTCTTTCCTCACGGGACCCACAGGTGGACACTTGGACGAGCACGAGCAGCTAACGGGTGGGCCCACTCGACAGCTACTCGCACAAGTCGTCAACTGAGACGGCCGGTCGGTCGCAGCCGCAAGCTCCCCCAATGCGATCGCCGATAGCCCAACCTGCTCCAAAGACAAGTACTCGCTGCCAACCGGGCCACCCCCCTTCGCCTACCCTCCCCTACCGGCGCTCAGATCCGCCGCCCCGCAGCACACCCGCCCGCGCCGGCAGCAACCACGACAAGCGGCCCGGCGCGCGGCAAGCAAGCTCCCATCCTTCCCACCATGCCGGGTCTGGTCGCCTACTCGGGCGCCGGGCTGGGCCTCCTGGCCCTCGCCGCGCTCGAGTCCCTGCCCCTCCGCGTCCCGCCGCTCCGGTTCCTCCCGCGCCGCCTCTCCACGCCGCTGCACCTCCGCCACCTCGTCGCCGCGGCCCTCTCCGCGCTCTGCCTCATCTCTGCTCTCGTCTCCGCGCACCACCTCTCGCTCCCCACGCTCGCCGCCTCGGCCCTCTTTCTCCTCTACTCCCTCGCGCCCTTCGTGCCGCTCGCCGCGCCGCTGCCCTTCCCCCTCCTCGACCTCCTCCTCGCCGCAGCCTTCTCGCAGGAGCTGCTCCTCTTCGCGCACCGCCGCCCCTCCACCGCGGCCGGGATCGAGAACCGGTACTTCGACCTGCTCCTCGTCCCCATTGCGCTCTGCCTCGGCGCCACGCTGCTCGCCGCGCACCGGCCAGGGGAGGCCACGCCGCGGCTCGCCCGCGCGGCGGGCCTGGCGCTGCAGGGCACGTGGATGCTGCAGATGGGCTTCTCCTTCTTCACCAGCGCCATCGCACAGGGCTGTGCGCTCCACGCCGCCAGCCGCGCCGACTACACCATTAAGTGCCGCACCCACGAGGATTACCACCGCGCGCGGTCTGTCGCCACGCTGCAGTTCAACGGCCACCTCGCGCTGCTTGTGATTGCCGGCGCGGCCGCTTATGCGGCAGTCCTATCCAGGGCAAACCGACCCCCGAGCGGGTATAGTGTTCTGGGCAAGGAGGTGCAGATGGAGGGGATGCCGATCATGTCACAGTTCACACTGGATTCGGATGAGGAGAAGGAAGACGAAGCGATCACCTCTACAGCAGCTCCAGTGGCAAATGGCGCGGAGTCCCATGACGAGATCCCACTGCACGAACCCGGTTCCAAGTGACAGATGAAATTTGGGCGCTGTTCTTCTGTCGTTTAGCCAAGTGGAAGAGGATGTCGACAGAGCTCCAGCAGACTGGGGCTCCATGCGTGTGTGTTTTGGTACATCATTTTCATATGGTTTTCACTTTCTGATATTTGGTTAATATATGTGGAAAGAAATCTTGATTAGTTTGATCTGCATAGATTAGAGTTAATATCTGTAAAATATTGTAATTTGTTGGGTTCAGATAGATCTTTCAGAAATAAAGTTAACACATGTTCAACTTTGAGATCAATTTGTATTCTCCACTTACTTTATTGTCTAACAATTGATAACTGCTTCGGTTTCTTTTTAATGATATTTTTAAAGTCCTGAGGCATAGATGTATCTGTTCAGAGTTACATCATTCTTTTTGCTGCTAGTGAAATGATCAAATTATTATTTTTAGAATTTAGATTAGTCGACAATGTGCTACTCTGTGAATTTGGATGAAAACTGGCTGCTATAATCCTCCTCTCCTACTTCAGTCCCTTTCCCCATTATGGGCTCATCTCACATAGAATACCCACATTCTGACTCATGGCTTTGCTCACGATGACATCCACTCTGTGAATCTGTCAATTAATTGTTATATTTTCTTCACAAGAAATGGATACCCTTAGCCCTTAGGATAATTAGGTGTGGAATTTGTTAAGCACATTTGCAATCCGATATTGCAAAGTGCTGCAATCCCTCGTAGAGGCAACTGCCACTGGTCACACTTGGGAGGAGCATTTGCTGGATTGATGTGGACCAATCTACCAAGTATCAGCTGCCTGTGAATACTGGTGGTCTGGTATGGGTGATACATTCATGAGTCATGACCATGGTGGCCAGGGGCGAAACTAGCTAGAAGTTAGTGGGTGCAAATGGACCACCCAAAATTTGTGAAAACAATGGTTTTTTTTCTAAAATTTCACCATATATGCACCACCTATAGCACAAGTCTATGCACCACCTATAGCACAAGACTATGCACCCGCAAGGCAAGTGCACCACCCTCTAATTTGCTCTAGCTTCGCCACTGATGGTGGCATCAGTTGCCCCGATCCAATACACACAGTGTAGCATGGTGACATAGCTGACTTTAGATCATCAAATGAGTTGAAACGTATCCCTGTGGTGGAGGGGATATAGGGCAGCTAAACAGTACATGATGTTGCAACTTCTTTCTGGTGATATCGTGGTAGTTTGTGCCTAGGTATTTGGTTTCTGATGCATTTAGGGTGATGTGAAATGCATTGACCATTCTTGTGTGGATGCTGGGTTTGTGAGTTGTGCCTTAAAATCAAGATCCATTGGTACTAAGATTCAGAGGGGTTCATTGTTTCAGCTATTTGGCTTCCGAGGCTGGATGACAGATTGCAAAGGTGTTTGCTCTTTGCAGTTTTATTTGCTTCCATTTTTTTCTTGGGGAAAAGTTGTTCTTTTTCGTTGGTGACTTCAGCTTTTTTGACGCAACTATGCAAGATTAAGGTTTCTTATTTCAGCTAGAAATGCATGCTGAGGATTGCCTGCAGAACTGCCCATGATGCTGGTAGCAAAGATGATTCTATTTATATCTGTGTTTACTAGTGGCTACTAAATGAGGCCATGCTTGTCAAACACAAGATATTCTCTCTATCATTGATTTTAATCCACAACTGGTTCAATGCACCTCTAGTTTCAGCAATGCATTATATGGTTGTTTTTCATTTTTCTTGGTAAACAAACTACATCAGCATAGTCTTCTATCTGTCTTTCTACTGCGCTAGTAATGTTTTGTTGTTTTGCTTAAAGGTCGACAGGATTAGAGTATTTCCACCGTGTTTGAGGTACAAAATATACCAATGTGTGCTTTTGCCTGTTGCTAAACCATACCAGAAAGTAACCAAGCAAACAGTCTCAGGGCACACCAAAATTTCAGATCTAGATCGACTAACAGACAATGGATCCATATGCAGTAAGTCGATTATAATAGGCAGCCAGTCAGCTACAAGAACTAGGCTGACATCTGTGTTTAGTAAGTGACTTTCTGCCTTCTTGTAAATGATGTGTTTCAAAAAGTTTCATGAGAATGATTTGCGGAAAATAATCTCCAGCTGAGTTACTTTAATTTTGTGAACAGAATGATTTAGACTATGATGGCAGTTTCTTGGAAAAGTGTGTGTCCAGATGGTAGCACCATAGCAGTCAAAATAAAATCAAGTTCTGAATCCACTAGTCTTCAATGCGGATTTCATTCATGGAAACATTCTAACAGGAAGTTATCGCTTATGTAGAAATATCTATACCTAATATGGATTTTCTTGTCGTTTTGGGAGTGAATGTGTCGGGTATCAGTATCAGGGATACCCGGAAGAAGGAAGCTAATGGCCGCGAACACTAACTCCCTTGAATGGTCAAGGTGTATCTTGGTCTCGCTAGGCCCCGAGGGCATGGGCTCTGTCTCGCCCGACCTCAATGATACGGGATCCGGGTCACCCAACCCCAAGAACGCAGGCTCCGTCTCGCCCGACCCCTCGGGCGAGAGCCCCGTCACGCTTGACCCCTCGGGCGAGCACGTCCGACCCCAAGGGCGCGGACTCCGCCTCGCCTGATCCCGAGAGCGCGGGCTCCATCTCGCCCAACCCCGAGGGCGTGGGCATCGCCTCGCCTGTCCCCGAGGGCACGGACTTCGTCTCGCCCGACCCCCGAGGGCGCGGGCTCCCCCTCGACCGACAGAGGTCCATACCGCCCCAACCACTATGAGTCTGGAAGTACAAGTCCAGGGTCAAACTTCTGATGCCAGAAGGGGAGCATGCGCGTCTTGACATGACCTGCGGCCACGACGGGCCACGTCCCGAGGGCGCTCACGTGCCATGCAGATGATCAGGCGTCTTGCGTTGTACTACCTACTCCCAGACGGCCTCAAAGTGAGCGTCAACGAGCCATACCATCCGCTGGGATAGGATGGAGCGCCATGATCGGCTGACGACGCCCGCGTACGGCGTCAGTGACGAATAGGGCCGCGACGTGGAGTCGTCCCCGTCGTCATCTACAGGGCCGACGGGACCCGCGTAAAGTAGATGGACGACGTTGCAATCCCGGAAGCCTTCTCTCTCGTCTCTCTCTCTCTCTCTCTCTCCGATGTAACCTGCATCTTTCCCTTCATCTATAAAAAGGAAAGCAGGGCACCCCACGGAGGGGACATATTTTTCACACACATCTAACACGTCTGAGCAGCTGAAAGGCTTAGGCACTTGACAGTAGACAAAGACCTCAACCAGACCCACTCTTTTCACCAGAGACTTGAGAACTTCTCCCTCTCTCGCCTGTTTGTAACCCGTACTACAAACCAAGTGCCGTAACACGAGCAGTAGCAGACTTGACATAGGGACATTCCGCCCAAACCAGTATAAATCATTGTATCCTCCGAGCACAGCCATCCGGGTCAGACGCACAAACTAGAAATTTACTAGCAGGTGATTCAAAACACCGATAGTTGGTGCGCCAGGTAGGGGGCTTTTGCGCGTCTCGTCGTCCACAATAGGCCATGGATGGCTAGCCATGGCGTTAGCTAGGTCCCGAGCATGCACGTGCGCTTTGGGAGCATGGACTTTATCGTCGCCATGGAGGGAGAGCTGGCGCGGGCTCCTGCCCCCATCTA